CACAAACACCGACTCCTCTGCTTTTCGATTAGTATCTATGTTCATTCATCAGTCATTTGCGCAGAAGAGTCCAGTAAGGCACTCTGGACCAAGCCTACAGCTCCACTCTCAGGGAAACAAGGCCAAGGCATGTGGGACAGAAGCTGCAGCTCAGGCTAGTCAGAAAGCAAATGTGTCAGCAGAAATGACTCAAGCAGAAGTTAAAGTGGGATTTGGAAAAAGACGAACAGTGTGGCAAGTCCAAAACCTGCCTGGACAAGTCCTGGGGAACCCTTGTGGATCATCGAATTAGATTAATTGAGCAGTTTACAGAGTGATGCAGCGACATCATCGCTGTCAGAGAACCATAACAATGCATCACCACTGAACCAGGCTGTTAAAAATTGAATAAATAGGTTAGCACATCCTCCACAGGCAACAAACTTTTCCTGCACAATTATTTTTATTTGCTGAGTTTTAAGACTTAAACACCAAATATAAAAAGTTCCATAACTTTTGCACCGGCCACATTTTATGTCCTATTTCCCGCCAGTATGTTAATTTCAGCAAATAAACAGTGATTGTGTATTAAAATGTGCAGAAGTGTGTTCCCTGTAGATGATGAGTAACTAATGTTCACTTAGAAAATCAACAAAACGTGTCATTTGAAAAAAAATTCGCAAGCGAGCAAAACCGCTCAAAGTGAGCAAAACCGCTATCGCGTGAGGAAATCTACTCTTGCGTGCGAAGAAAACCCCTCATGCACGCAAAGAGAACTACTCGTGTGAGGAAAACCGCCCTCGCGTGCATTCATGAGATTACTGAACATTCACAAAGATAGAATTCAGTAGTTACAGGCAGCGTTTCGGCTAACGCTGCTCTACTGGTGGACTGTGAAGGTCGTCTTCTAGAGTGAAAGTCCTGTTCCCAGTTTTTTATATGCAATAAAAGCTCTGATGACCACTGACAGCCAGCCAATCACAACACAGTTCCAGAAATAACAACATTTATTTGTATAGCGCTTTTCACAACTACTATTGTCTCAAAGCAGCTTTACAGAAATCAGTAGTAACCAATCATACGTCAGGAACAGTTGAGTGTCCGGCTAATTTTCCTCACGTAAATAGTTGTCTTTGTGCATGCGCACACATGAGTGTGTTTTCCTCACAAATTTTGAGCTGGATTTGACGCCATACACCTTATTGTCTAGGATTGTAACTGACCAATCCAAGCCCCACTCACAAACATATTCATAGCTACTATTGCTAGGATGAAAGCTTTACAGAACAATGACACAAAATCCCGTTCACCCTAATGCATTTGGATGGGATTTGGATTCAAAACACAATGAATTTCCAGTGTAAAGTGTTAGCCTACCCAGCTGGACTTTGTTGTTGAAGCTTATTGAATTTCTGGCAGATTTGCTGCTGGTACTAACGTAAGCTCACAACAAATGAACTACAGGAACAGAAAAAAGTACAGCTGATCTCTCATTTAATCAAATGATCTTTCACATGAATAAACTAGGACACAGTGTCATTAATGCAAAGCGCTAAAATCTATGAGTACTAATGGCTCCCCCTTGTGGAGAGTCTTCAGCCTGCTAAACCTGAGTGAGTTACAAACCGGGTCCATGAGGCGTTTCACATCTAAAAATATCATTTGAACACATTTTAACATCTTTTGAGGTGTGCTACAGTTTTTCATTAAGATTAATGGGATATTGCCAATGTTTTGTAAAGCTTGTCTAACCTGGCAACAGTTGTTACGATAGAATTTTTGGGATAGAACCTGAGTCACTTGCCATTTGTGAGGTTAGGATTCTTCACTGTTTTATAAAATGTTGTTTATAATACCAATAAATATCAATGCAAACACTAAATAAGAGTTTTTGCATTCTGCTGATTTGCTAATGAGGACACCAGCAACGATGGGCATAGAAGAGTTAAACATGGACCTTTTCGATACGCAGACAATCATCTCACAGTAGCGTAGTAGATAGGTTTTATTTTTGTGGACCTTCACTGAACAGCTGAGAATCACTTTCTTCATAGAGAATAAACCAAAGACAGAAGAGAATGTTGGAAATGGAAGAATAACAGCACTGGTGGTAAGAAAGAAGAACAAAGGAAACACTTCACAGAGTGCATCTGACTCACATTATTAGTCTTATGAAAAGCTCAGGTGTTTTTACATAGACAAGCCTCGAACACAATGATCGTCTTCACACTCCGTACATCACTTTACGTTGACATCATCATCATCATAATATACTTTAAGCCTTTGTGCGCCTTGGCGTCACTTCTTGCTTTAAATGAATGCAAGTCCGAAGTCTAGCTACGTATTATCCTTTAAATCCCTTGTAATTCAGCCAAAGCATTGTTACTCTGCTATTGTATTGTTCCCTTACGACACCATTCAAACCAGCTGTATTTATACAGAACCTAATCACATGATCTTGATCTATAACAATGCTTAAGAGTTTCTGAGCAGTTTCTGTTACAGCTGAGAAACTCCACACTTACACATAGCTGTGGATGGACCTAAAAGAGTGAATGTGCCTTTTAAGAAAGATTTCAGGAATTAAAAAAGGACAGCAAAACACAACATTACATAATTTAACACATTAAATAACTATGGTACAAGGCAACTACTGGAATATTATATTTTAATGTAGAAGGGAAACCCTGACCTCCATGTAATCCTCCCCTGTTTAAGATACATTTGGCACAGAAGCTGAAGCTGTGCAGCTGAAAGTCTGCAGTACAGTTTTGCCCAAATTCACACAGATCTGATTTTAAAGCTGTGAAAACCATGAATGTTTCAGAGTAGCTTCCATGTCCACTGTAACACTGTCATTTTAATGGCTAGTCTAGTAACGCTTTCTTGTACAGTTCACTAAGTTCTAGGTAATAATGAGTTAAGTGTGAGATACAAACTCCAAGGTTCTAGATCATTATTTTAGGTAACATGACTGTAAGTTCCAAGACAGTTCAACTAAATTACACTGAAATGCCAAACATGCTCTAGATATGAACTAATTGTGCGGTATGAACACCAAAATACTCGACAATTGTTTTGTGTGATGACAGAAAATTCCATGACCGTTTAACTTTATTACACTGAAACATGTTCTAGATATTAACTTAGTAAGTGTGTGTTATAAACACCAACGTATTAGGTAATTATTTTGGGTGACATGATGGTAAGTTCCAAAACCTATATTACAAAACACGTTCCAGATATTAACTGATCAAGTGTGTGGTACAAACAACAAAGTACTAGATAACTGTTTTGTGTGATGACGCTAAATTCCGAGACTGTTTAACTATATTATAAAATGTTCTAGATATTAACTGATTAAGTGTGTGGTACAAAAACCAAAGTACTAGATAAGTGTTTTGTGTGATGATGCTAAATTCCGAGACTGTTTAACTATATTATAAAACGTTCTAGACATTAACTGATTAAGTGTGTGGTACAAACACCAAAGTACTAGATAATTGTTTTGTGTGTTGATGCCAAATTCTGAGATTGTTTAACTATACTATAGTTATGTTCTAGATATTAACTGATTAAGTGTGTGGTACAAACAACAAAGTACTAGATAACTGTTTTGTGTGATGATGCTAAATTCCGAGACTGTTTAACTGTATTATAGTTATGTTCTAGATATTAACTGATTAAGTGTGTGGTACAAACAACAAAGTACTAGATAATTGTTTTGTGTGATGATGCTCAATTCCGAGACTGTTTAACTATATTATAGTTATGTTCTAGATATTAACTGATTAAGTGTGTGGTACAAACAACAAAGTCATAGATAATCATTTTGAGTGGCATGATTGTAAGTTCTGAGACAATTTAACTATTTTACACTGAAATGACATAAAGGTTCTCGACATTTCCTGAGTATGTGTGGGGTATCTCCAAAGTGCTGAGTAATTGTTTTAAGTAAAATGATGATAAGTACCAAGACAGTCTAAATGACTCTGAAATGACTAATGAAATGGCTCTAGCTATTAAACTGATAAAAAAAACACTGGAAAAAAAAATCTACAAAGGTGTATATAAAATATAAAGGTGGTCAGTAAACATTCTCAGACTAAATTTCACTGTAAAGTAACACGTTTAAGCAGGAAAGTGAATCAGAAACACCTCCAAGTAGTGGGTAGTTATACGGCGCAAAAATGACCCAGGTAGTTTTCTAAAGTAAATGACAAGGACTCAGTAAAACCAGGGTAAGGATCACTGCTCTCTTTAAAGCCCAGATACCGACTGTACTTGCATGTACACTCTTTTTACACTATATAACTACCTGGTTCTTCTTCTCAGTATTTTAGAATTTGTACCTTAAACTTAAATACCAAGAATGTGTTGGGCATTTCAGTGTAATTTAGCTGCACTGTCTCTCATCCTATGACCCAAAATAATCATCTGATACTTTGGAGTTTGAACCCTCACACTTACCTGGTTAATATCTAGAATTTTAAGGGACTGTAAAAGAAAACATTCATGCTATTTCTTTGGTTAACTAATCTTGACTACACTGCCTGGGCCTGGCTAGTCAGCCTGGTAAAAGTAGCCTTGCAATTTAACATAGATAGCACAGTGGTTGAGATGTAAAAAAGTCATTCAGAGTGGTCTGGTGTGAAATGGTTCACTGCAGAGAAACGTGCAGACTCAGATTTCTTTACAGTGGTGCTGATGGGAACCAGGGGTCACAATGTCTACAACACAAATACAGCCATTTCATTTACAATCCAAAACCACCACCGAATGTACACTAGTTTTCTGAGTTTAAATGTAATATTGAAAATGGTAATCTTTGGGTACTACTGTGTCTTACAACACACAGCATGTACCTCTCCACCATGATATTATAAAAGAAAATACATTCGAATCCAAAGTCTTATTTCTGAACTACTGTAAAACAATGTCTTGGGCAGCGAGAGTGAGAGCTTTTAGAGACATTGTTAATAAACTCTTTAGACGTCTGGTTCCTATCACCACCACTGTAAACAGTTCTGACTCTGTAAGTTTCTCTAGAAAGGAATATTTCACACCAAACCACTCTGAATGACTCACATCTCAACGATTTAATTATACAGAACTTTTGAAATCTGTGGAATTCATGTTTAATAACAGGGGCTCACTCCTTACCCACAGTATTCAAACTATACACTGTATATAAACTTAACTGCTCACTGCTACTCTGGAGAAACTAAAGTCCACTTTGGGGATCGGTACATTTTAGCTTCTTGATTTGTCTATAATACAGACTAAATATATGAAATGATTCTAAGTCTGATTTGTAGTAGATAAATATTTTCATGATGGTATCACGGTCGAGCCCAGGCAGCCATTTGAAAGATATACAGGTGTTCTGATTTTGTATAGTCCTATTAAAAGACACAATTTCAAAATCAGGTTGTGAAGTTTTGGAAGAATGAATAAAACTTTTATCATAAAGCTTTCATTAAGATATGACCATCAGTGGCTGCTTGCATAAAACATCTTAACTGATTATCAACCCCACATTTTCACTTATACAACCCTTATTTTAAACAAGCTGCATAAAATCACGTCAGTCTAAGTTTCATCACTTAAGTGACTGTGGCAAAAAAACGTGTGCTATGAAACACTTAAGTATTAGCTCGAAGTGAGAGAAGCAGTTAATGCAATGCACTTAAGTACAGCCTTTAACTTAGTAAATTTTGCTGTTATATATTTAAAGTAAGGGCTGTGTAGAATCACTTCAAACTAAGTTTTGTAACTTAAGTGTTTGACAGTTGCAAATATTGCACTGTTTTAGCTTTAAGCGAGACAAGCAGTTAAGAAGTGTAATGCAATACACTTTTTAAACTTTGCCTTTAAAAATTTAACTTAACATAAATATTTGAGACGTTTTGAATATAAGTGGCCACAAATATCTAAACTTTGCGCTTTGTATGTCGCTTAGTATCCGGATCTAATGTTTTTAACCCCCCCAAAAACATGCTTGTCTCCTTACAGCTATCACAACATACAATATTTAAGTCTGGACATCTGATGAAACTCTTGTAACACCAACATGAAGGCAATTCTGTAGCACAAAACACGTCTCAACACAGGTTAGAATACAGCTTCATAACAGTGCGGAAAAATGAAGTCATTGGCTTTCCCTTTACGAAGGAACTGACACACAATGTATGTTTGATGCAGGATGCTACATACTGGAACCGTGTGCTTCCTCAGGAATGTCTCTTGCTGCAGCCACTAAAGTCCTGCCAGCTACATGTTCATGTGCCTTTGAGAGGGAAACTAGTACACGGTCCACACGTAAGCCAGGCCAGATTTTTCAGTCCTTCTACTCAGAGTAATAGCAGGTCCCATGAGTATGTGGCAGCAAACGGAATACTCCTCCTTCCCCAGCATCTTGTGTCACAGTTTAGTGTCAAGTAACAGACAGCAGTGGAATCCAGCAGTTACTAGAATTACAAGGAGAACGTTTATAGTTTATAACACTGAACAGAGCACATTCATCCAACACAATGAGTCTTGTGTTTTCATCTGCAACTTATTACTGTCTAAAACTCTGTTTATCTTCATGGAGTGAAGGGGGAGAGAGTGACATCAGAGCACTGAGCGTAAGTCTGCTAGCAGCTGTGAAAGCCTGCAGTCTTTTCTTTTCTTCACTCACTCTTTCTCCAGTCCTGCGAGAACTTCATAAAGGTTTTGAGTCACTGTGGAAAAAACTGTGGCTGAAACAGCCAGTGTGTTTGAGCAGAAGTTCTACTTTTAGTGTCCGTTTATGGTCCTTTGATCAGTAGCCGTTGGCTGCTCACCGCGCGCCTCTTAGACTGCTGACAGGTCGATGCGATTGGCCGAGTTGGTGCTTTTGTCCCATGTGTGCATCTTCGTCGGGCTCACGCCCCCTTTGTTACCGTTCATCTGTCAGACAGAAAACCAAAAAAGACGATGAGCAAGCTGGCATATTTATTATATATTGGATTTTTCATTGACCTTGACATTTTTTAAGTATAGTTGAGCCAAAACAGCAAATTTTGCTAACAGTGAACTGCCACTAATTAGCATTATGCAAATATCTCACGTTACTTAGTTCTTCTTGCCAACCTTGATAAAAATGAATGAAAGTGAATAGCCACCAATTAGCACTAAGCAAACAGATTCACACAAACTAATTGCCTCCATTCACTGTTAGCCATGTTAACATGCTTAGTCAAGATAATCCTCTATAGCAGTAGAAACTAGAAACTACATATTAAGGGTATAAAGATATCTAAGGTATGATTGCTTTTCTCAGTGAGTACTCACAATGTCTGAGTTGAAAGGCTTGACGTTGATGTTGCGGATTGAGCTGCTGGTCAGAGACCAGACTTTGGTCTTGTGCTTGAAGGCCGCTCTCACCTGAGGGAGGGAAACATTGGTTACCTCCACACACACTTATTCTGCCTCAGAAAGGGAGAACAGTGCAGAGTTATACAATAATTCAGCCATAAACCACATAGTAACTGATAACAGCAAGTTTTTCACCACACTTGTGTAGTTCTGCTGACCGCCAGTAGCTAAATAACAACAACGATAGCTTTATTCTGAGCTGCTAACTGTGAACCATACAAAAACAAATACAAAAACAGACAGACAAATGTATTAGACTAGATGACACTGTTTGGTTTGCTATACATCGATACATACCTGTTACTAGCTGTGTTAGCTTATTCACTAGTGGCATTTGTTATTTTATTATAAGAATGCAAAACTGTACCTATATCACTTGTGGCTGAACTACTTTTTTGCCAATTTCTACATTTTTAGAAAGCAAATAGATCCAGTCCTAAAATCTGACTGTTTGAAGCCACTGTAGAATACTCAATAAATAACACAACTACCGCCACACAACTGAATTTGATGTGGCAAGTTACTAAACACTATTGTGCTACGACATGGACCACCAAATGTAATGATATATGACGTAAGAACCTGGTTTTGTTTAAACTGAGGGTCTGACAACTTATTTTCTTCACAACTAGGCTAGAAGATAGCTATCAGGCTAAACTGCGCCTCCATTAATATTCAGTGTTAGGCCTGAACTGAAGAACTGAATATTGAATGATTCGCTGTGAAACTGCAAAATAAGGTAAAGAACATGCTACTTGAATGTCTTATATGCTTCAAATGTCTCAGATTTTGGTAAACCTGCTTTCAGTAGTATTAAATCCAGCATGGAAAAATGTTTATGCTTTGAAACAGTTTTATGTTATATAAAACCAAAATAAAAATACACTCGATCACAAAACACTCTTTATTATATGTCAAAAAATGAAAAAGCTTGTGAAATGACTGCCATATACAATGATGGGCGCCTAAAAGTTCTTGTCCTCGTTTAGCAGTCTATGGTTGCTTGGCAAGAATAGCACACTTTAAACCAACTACACTTCTTGGTGAAAGAATTCTTTATTGCTTTTATTTTTAATTATTACCTTTAAATATATTGTATTAAAAAATGAGTGTATTTTATCACATTTTATGTTGTTACCATTTTCTAAAAGCAATTAGCTACTTAAACACTGAGCCCTTACTTGTGATAACATTATCACAAGGGCTAATTGCTTTAATTTGAAACAATATTCATTTTGTTTTACCTTTTTCTTACTTTTTAAAACTGTTATAAAAGCAATAGAACACTTGAAATCAAGATCTCGACAGCTGTGACATCACAGCTGTGATCCTCATATAAATATTAATCTCTGTGGCACACTCTTAAAACGATGGTTCTTTAAGAGTTCGTTACGAAAGAAAATAGTTCTACATAGAACCATGAACACTCAAAGGACCCTTTGGTTCTTTGCATCATGAAAGGGTTCTCCAGATTAATGGAAAATGTGCATGAATGTACTATAGATGGATCTATATAGAACCTTTCTGAAAAGGATTCTATATAGCACCCAAAAGGGTTCTTCTATTGTAACAAGCTTGACATCCTAACAATAGAACCCTTCCCACTCTGGGGAAGTATTGAATGGGCTCCTTTTGTTTTCCAATTCAGAAACAAATAGCGTTACAGTACTCAGCTACGTTCTTGTTCTTAGTTTGGCTCAGATAACTATTAACTGCTATGACTTCAAACGCTGTATAAAAATGCAGTATTAAAGCTTCACCACCAGGTGGAGCTGTGATCACTCTCCACTGACATAACACTAAATGTGTGCAATTTACACTCTGCTGCTGCTGTGCCAGATGTATTCCCAAGCTGTCACTGCAGTTATGACCTACACACAGCTGCACAAACACAGTCGGAGCCTCACCTCAGAGTTCAGCAGACAGTGGAAGAGGAAGATGAAGAAGCCCTGTGAGAATAATAAGGAAAAGAGATGAGAAGAGAAGGGCTGTAACGATGCCATATCCGAAAACACTCCTGCATCCATTTCCACCTTAATGAACGAGAAACCCAATTGTTTTCATAAACTGTTAATTCTCATTATTGGCTGGACTCGGAGGGTGTGAGGGTGATTTTGGAGACTGTCATGAGAGTGTCAGTCACAAGGACACATACACACACACATCATGTGGCTCTTCCCTCTAAGTGGGAGGGTAATTAGAGTAATGGTGTTAAAGTGTGGACAAACCTGCAGAGAATTGAAGGCTGCAAACATGTACTGGAAGAGTAGAGAGTGGTCATTAACAGCTAAAACCCCGAAGATCCATGAGATGCCCAGGATAGGCAAGAGCACTGCTACCGCTTTAGCAGTAAGCCTGTACACACATACAAAATACAGTTACATTATGTCTTTGTTATTCATCAGTTGTCTGATTATTAGAGGTGTAAAACTAAGTTAACATAATACATTACTGACACCACTATTTTTTAACACCATTAACAAATTTTTCTATTTTGACCCTTTGAAGCATCCATAGTTCCAGCCCCAGCTGCTTGTGTGCTGTATGACTCAATGACTGTAGTCCTCTGCTTCTCTATTGATTAAAATTATTTCCAGTTACTGACAAAGAAAATTTATTTATCACTGAAGTCTATGGAGTCTGACATATCATTTATCTTTTTTTTCTTCTGAAATGTGATTTTTAGGTGTTACTTTTCAACACTGCCCATTGCCTGGAGCCCCTGCCCACAATAATTTACATTTAAGCCACTAAAAATACAGAGCCTGTGGCCCAAGCAGTCGTTTGTCTTGGACTTCTTTGGGTTCTTTCTCACTTTTAACAAACTAGTAGGACAAATCAGATTTTGTCGGAATTCATTAACTGTAACCACTGAGATGGTGCGGTGACTGTGGGAGCTCCCCTGTTAAAGCTGGTCCACCTGGTATCACAGATGCTGTTCTATTAAGTTTGCTAATATCACTGTATAAAATAAGGTCTTAAATAAAATTTAGTATTTAATAAGCTGGCTTTGCATTGAGAGGCTAACACTGCAGTAGCTAAACAATACCTAAAGTAATAACCTACACTGGAAGACGTAGGCAGAGACCGGGTTGGTGGGTGGACCACCACGGTCACCCCACCAGCAATGCTCTTATTAATGTAAAGTGTTTCATAAATATTTCCTTTTTCATTTGTAATTGTAAATAAAATATATACACAATAAACACGTTTCTAACACTTTGGCCACAAGATTCATGGCTTGCTGGCTGGAGTGGTCAGTGCAGTTTTAATATGTGTCTACCCCCTGAGCAAAAGGTTTTATTAGTATACACACCTGTTTGCTAATCCTGTGCATTTGGCTTCAATACTCAACTTCATGCTTATCAAAGTGTCTTCCTTGGTGTGAAGAGCAGGTTTAAATACTGATATGACAGTTTTCTTTTCAAAACTACTGTTAAAAGCTTTGGGCCCAAAGGTGTTTTAAACATCTGAGGGGTTTTAATGCTTTGGCATTATTGTCATATTAGCACTGTCACAAATATTTACATGTGTGATAGATGTTTTCTTCTAAATAAATCTGCTTAGTTGTTAACATGGTAAGTTTTGCAAATTGACAGAGAAAACAGGCTCAATAATATTAAAACTGATACTAAAACAGTTTAAAAATGCTAGATGTCCTCAAACTTTTTTCTGTTTATTTTCTGTAAATATATAAGTATTCCAGTAAGAGCAGCTGCTATCAGTAAGTCCAACAGCTGATAGCAATGCTAATAAAACAATTAAACAATAAAACAGACACACAATGTAATGGCAGTGCACGTGATGACTGGTAACTGATATCAGTTTACAGTGTAAAATGTTCTATCAGTAACTGTATGTGAACGCAGCAGACACTCACTTCACAGAGTTTGCGTCTCCGTGCACTTTATAGTTCTCGGCGCTGATTCTGGAGATAATCCTCGTCACAGCGATGAGGATGCCGATGTTCACCTGAACCACATATTTCACACAATAGAGATTTATTTCACAAGTGAACAACACCAGCACGCTTATTTGCTCACAGATTAATATTGGAAGTTGCAGTTGTCAGTGGCACACTGTAATATTATTTGAATTATTTCTCACTTGTAGCTCAGTAAAACAAGTGGAGACATTCTGCTGAAAGTACAGATTCTAAACCTTCAATCCATAACACATTTGTGTTTGTAAGCAGAAGAGGAAATATTTTATTATGATTTGAATTTGAAGTAAAGCTATTACTTGTTTCATGGAAAGAAAAGCTATGCTTGACATTTTTGCCATAGAAACAAAGGGAAAAAACACAAGTGCAGTTTCAAACTCGTAACATCAATCGAATGTAAACTAAACAGAGCAGTACCAGCAGTAGATGGTAATCAATTATGGACCAAATTACGCAATTAATATTTAAACAGTGCAGCAAAATCAGGGTAATAACTCTAGACTAGAAGGGTTAACTTAACTCCCCTCAAAAAGATCAGAGTGTTCAAAAGGATATCTGTGCTCACACTCACCATGATGACGAACAGTGCAGGTGCTACAAATGCCCAGATAGCTCCATTCTGAAGAGACAGCCAGCAGCTAGGGGGCAGCAGCGGAGTAAGAGTAAGAAAAGGAGAGAATACATTTAGATATATGCAGTTTCACATCTATCTGTCATTAAAATAATGTGGTCACTGTCTTAAAAAAAACCTTGTACCTGTGACGTGGCAACTTCAGGAAAAGGAAAAAAAAATTACTTTAATGTAAGTTAAGTATCCCCTTAAGTGGCCAGGGACCAAAGGCAGGCCCAATGTTTTATTACACACTTTTATATCCTAAGAATAGCTCAGCCAGTTTACACTGAAGTCCCCATAGTTACTGAATAATAAGTCTTAGTGTGTAATAAGCCTGGGATTTTAAGGGGTTAATGTAAATAAGTAATTTTGGACCATTTCTATTGGTCCACTCATCATGAAATGTTAGCAGTGTGTGATAGAAGTGGAGGTACAAGGTCATGATGTGACTGCGACGATACACAGATCAAGTGTTGATCCACACTGTTGCTGTGGAAACTCACTTTCCGACCTCCCCGTAACTGCTCAGCGATGACGTCATGGACACCACGCATATGACCAGCGGAGACCCTGAGGAGGGGAGCAAAGAGCAGAAGTTAAGATGTTGCCAGATGTTGCCAAATATTTCAACTATCACCTCAGAAGAGAGTATAATGGACTATTTGAGTGTGGTGCGCTGGAATGTATACAGGCCGTTTCAGAACCAGTTTGTTTGCTCTTTTCTCAAGAGAAACAGTTTCTTCTGCCTTTTTTTTCTTTGGGAGCTCTAATTATCTGAAAAGTGACAGGTCGGTGGGGACGGACGCGCGGTGTGAGGGGGGAAATAAAAACTGAAAGATCAAACGCATTCCCAGGGGTAAAAATACCCCGCTGTAACTACTAAAGCGCGATTGGGATTTTTACGATCGTGTCCTAATAACTATAATAAGAACCGCTTGGAGTGCGGCCGGCTTCATCTGTGCCACCACAAATAAAAAGCTGCAAACGTTTGCCAGAAGACATTTAGAAAAGGGGAGCCTCCATTCTGAAGTAATGACTAAAGCTTTAACCAGGGCCCATTTCACTGACTTATTCTATCATGGGTTGCCACGGGAACCAATAAATACTTTCAACTATTTCATAATTTACAACCCCTTTTACTTACAAACATCACAGACTGCTTTGACTTTCACAACTATGAGCATCGATATATGCTCATTTGAAAACTCTCTTGAAAAGTGTTTTCTCTGCAGATCACTTTGTGGAGACCATGAGATCGTAACTCTAAGTGAGACAGAGAGAGTGAGAAAGAATGAGAGACAGAGAGAGAAGAGAGGGCAGCTGGGGTCCAGAAACAACACATGTTGTATATTAACACATCCGAGCGTTTGAGGACATGTGAGTGAATAACAGTGACAGCAGCATTAATGATGGCACATACAGCACTCCTCCACAGTTTACACAACGAGGAATGGCCTCACTTGCACACATACACAAACACACACAGTGGGAGGTATCACTGAAGTCCCACAGCTCTGTAGCTGCCTCACTTCACTTTCCATGGCTATATAAAATATGCTAAACACAGTCTTTTGAGGCAAAATACTAACGTATATGTATTTATGCACGTGTTCATTGCACTCCTATGTGAATGTGAGGCTCTGTGCCTGTGTACATACACTGTTTGTCAAAAGGCTCTCTTTAGAGTATTTCTGCTGTTACCTGCACCTGCAGAGGATTTATTAACATAAAACCTGAATATAAAACAGCTATTTGCTCATAAATGAGTCTGCAGGCATCTGCTCATCCAGCGTTTTTTCTGAAATCAAGGGCGTTAACTGGAAGTTTGTCCCCCTCTACTCTTCTGGGAAGGCTTTGCACTAGATGTTGAAACATTGCTGTGAGGACATGATTGCATTCAGCCACAACAGCATTAGTGAGGTCAGGTACTGATGTTGGATGCACAGTTCTGGACGCTCCAACTCATCCCAAAGGGATTGGATGGAGCTCCATCACTACAGAGAATGCAGATCCACCGCTCCACAGCCCAAAAGCTGGGGGGGCTTTATATCCCTCTACCTGACACTGGGCTTTGGACATGTTAACCTTAGGCTCACAAACATCAGAACATAGAATCCGAACATTCTGTGTGCCAGCATGTTATTGTCACTGTCATAAAGACTCTCTTTATTGTTGAAGGCACTGTGATTTGTTTCCGACTGAGCATGAGAGCTCATTCAGAGTGCAGTTCGGATCGGAAAGAGACTCTTAACAAACTGTTTAAGAATAAATGACTGATGTGTGAACTATATTATTATTTTATTATTACATATATTATATTAACAGAGAAGACTGAACTTCAGAAATAGCCAAGTTTTTGCATCAGCCTTAAAGTGATTGATGAGTGCCGATGAGTGACATCCAAACAATGGACAGTGGGACACTTTGGTTTTGTTGCCAAGGTAGCTCTAGCATTAATACCGTCACACATATTAAATATGATATTTTTTTCTTCTTAATAAACTTGATTTATCTTTAACATGATAATTTCTTCCAGAAGGACAAAGAAAACAAGCTCATTTGTATGAAAACATTTTAAAGAGCTAGGTGTCCCCAAACCTCTGATTGGCAGTGTATGTTTGTTTGTATGTATGTATAACAGCACACTGTGAATAACTCACCCCAGCCGATGCCGTAGTAGTAGAAGTGTTTACTCCCCTCAGAGCCAAACACTTTCACCACCATGCTGTAGAGGTGCAGCCCCTCCACCAACATCCAGGCAAATGCACACAGGAAGAAGAAGTGCAGCAACACTGCCATCACCTTACAGGGCATCTACAGGTCAGAAAAAGGGTCAAAAGTCACAATGTCATCAAGGTTTGGTTTATTAAAGGAATAAAACTCATCTGTTTTTCCCCTTACCAGAAATATAATGAATCAGTCAGGACATGTCTGGTGACTTAAACTGCAACTCCAAAGCCAGTGTAGCTAAAAAGTAATGAAAGCTTATACCTCACTAATAAGCACTGTGCAAACTGTACGCCTAAGTCATCACACACTCCCCTCAAACCATGTCTACTTGTTAAGTAGTTCCTAACAGACTTGCTAATGTGGTTTCTGACACTGTATGAAATTCTGTTATATATATAAAGTGGACATATGCATGCAGCATTGGTAAAAACAGTAGTAGCAGCCATCTTGAAGCATGAATTTCATCTGCATTTTTATCAGTTTTTACAGAAACAGAACAGCCTTTTGGGGGCCCTAAGTAGGATTTTTTATCTTATTATCTGATGTACTGTAAAATTAAAGGCTAAATAATAACAATGATTACCACAAGCTAGTCTAAATTATATACCTTTATAACTGGGTAATTTGTGTAATTGCTGATGACTGGATGCTTGTTTCATAGTTCTATGAAGGTAACAGATAAGCAGATAACAGATCACCTTCTCATCATTCTTGATCCAGGGCTCTGTCTCACCATGCTTGCTTAACTATCTTACTTTAAGCTTAGTTGAATCTAACCCTGGTGACGATATTGCTTTTTACTGTTATAAATGCTTTGCTTTCTACATACCTAGGTAATATAATTTATTTTTTGTGCAAGTGCGTGAGTACCTAAACCTGGATTAATCACAGTCTGAGTATCTAAAACCTGGATTAATCACATCTTGACTATCATCATCATCATCATATGCCAATTAATCAGAGCCTGAGTATGTAAACCTAGATTATTCACAGTTTGAGCATCTAAACCTGAATTAATCATAGCTAGAGTAACTAAACCTGGATTAATCACAGCTGGAGTATCTAAACTTGGATTAATTACAGTTTAAGTATCTAAACTTGGATTAATCAACAACTTGAGTATATAAATCTTGATTAATCACAGCCTGTCTATCTACACCTGGGTTAATCACAGCCTCAGTATCTAAACCTGAATTAATCAAAGTTTTAGTATCTAAACCTGGATTAATCACAGCCTGAGCATCTAAACCTGGATTACTCACAGGCAGAGGATCCAAACCTGGATTACTCACAGTCTGAGGATGTATACCTAGATTAAACACATCTTAAGTATCTAAACCTGGATTAATCACAGTCTACGTATCTAAACCTGGATTAATCAAAGCCAGAGTATCTAAACTTGGATTAAACCAGTTGCTTTTTTCTCATTACTAGAGCATTTTAGACAATATAATGATACAGAAATAACCCAGAAGTGGTCGGGGGCCCCTTGGCGGCTGTGGGGCTCTATGAAGCTGCTTATGTTCCTTGTTAGGTAGAGCTGGCGCTGTCATAGAGTGTCAGAAACCCCATAAACAAATTTTTGAAGTATACAGTCTTTTCTCATGGAATTAGATTACCAATTTTTTTCTGGTAATTACTGATGCTGACAGAGGGCCATTTCTGGGATGTTCCTGCTTCTGGAAATGTAGTGATACAATCTATTTAGGACATAATTTAGAACAAATAAGGCTGCATTCACAGTCAATTAGATTGTCCCTGCTTTAACCTGATGATTCATCATGAATTATATTATTGTAAAATAATCTAGGAAGTGATAGCTACTGGTATCAGTAATAATGATGAAAGGCTGCAGCAATTTCAATTGCTTTAGTCTGATGTGTTTCAATAAGCACAAACTAGATAAGTTCTAAAACTCTGTGAAAACAGCTCCAAAATACTCAGACTACTCTAACATCTTCACCATCCCCACTTACCATAAGTGGCACGTAAAATAGAGCAGACAAAGTGATTATCATTTTGTTATCCCTACAGAGAGCCTGGAGCATTTTGGGCAACCACGACAGTTTATCACAGCTTTAAAAACAGGCTCTGGGAAACGCAGGAGTCAGAGAGTCCACATGCATTAGAGATTCAATGAAATGAATCTGAACGCCGCTGGTGCCCTGCTCTAACAGTGTGTGCGGTCACATCCTCAGACGGAGATATGAGCGGAGGAAATTACATCAGAACGGCATATTATCAAATCAGTCTCATGTTAAAGCTGGAGGCATGTGAGAAGATCAGCACATTCATCTAACTTTACGTTTGTCAGGATAATTCAGCACGATGAGACATCGGCTGCTAACTCTGCTTGACTAAAAACAGCCTCCTGCAAAAAAGAGGCATAATTGTGTTTGAGATAAGCACTCCATAGTAACGGGCATCATGACTGGGGAAATGCTGATGAAAATATCCTGGTTACGAGGTCATCAACTCAATCAATAGAATTACATCGAATAGATTGTTACTCAAATGAACTTTGGTAGAGATACCGCAATCAATCAAGAAATCCTAAAGGGCTTTTACGTCCAAGCCCACATAACAATAATACATCAACCAGCAGAGGTAGGAGAAAGTTCCGGACCAAAAGGAAACATATTACATTAACAGCTTGCTATTAGGGGTTAGCGGCAGATGAGGTGGATATGCATAGCAGAGGATTTTTTGTTGTTTTTTAGTTAAAGCTCAGATACTTTTCCCACAGTGGTAAAGTACTGTGCAAAGTCAAAGACCACCGTTAATTGGTTTAATTTCCAGTCAAAACTGCCATTAGGCACAAACTCTTCATTTTTAATTTTCTTAGATATAAGATATAAGATTAGATATAAGACAATGCTGGCATAAGGTAGGAGAAAATCAAAGAAAAATAAGTAAAAGAATTTTCAAAACTGGAATTCAAAATATGTTTAAAAGCTACAAAAAAGATGTGACTCATAACAACTGTGCACTGTCCCCATCAGATAAACAGCACTTAAAGCTTTCATCTTTGAGAGAGAGGAGAAAATCAAGCTGCTTCAGATCTGAAAACATCCACAGGTGTTTCTGTCCATCCTTCCACTGTGAGAAGACAACTCAGCGCTATGGGTCTGAAAGGATGTGTAGCTGTCAAGAAGCCCTCACTGAGAAAATGAGACAGACACATCAAAGAAGCTGCTGGTGCTCTCAGAACAATGGACTGACCACCCCAGAGTCCAGACCTCAAACAGCATTTACTGAATGTGTTTGGATTGTGAGAGGCAGAAAGTGCAACCAACTTCGAACTTTGGAGGTGTTCATGCAAATTTCTTTAAAAAACTAAAAGTGAGTCTCCTGAAAAGAAAGGAAGCTGTAATAAAGAGAAAGAGCAGACACACTAAACACTGAAACAATTCTATTTCATTCTTGCAGTTTCTGTGTAATTTTCTTGTTTTTGTGTTTTTCCTGTTGCTGAAAAATGAATAACTTAATGGATGTTTTGACTAGAAATTAAATAAATGAAGGATGGTCTATGACTTTTGCACAATACTATGCACAAACTATACTGAATGCTAAAAGTTTGCCTCTCACATTCACTCGTGCTTCAGTGCTATGATTTTTACCACTCCAATGGGAATCAAACAAAAGCTTAATGCAAGCTAGTAGCAATAAACTGTGATCTCTGCACAGTCGACTACTCTATGCAACCCCTAGTGCAAACAGCATCACACACTGCTTCAAACCATTTTAAGTTGTTAGAGAATTTCAAATAGACTTCTTATGTGGTTTCTGACACTGTAGGAGATACTGCTATCTACAAAAATCGGCGAAGTGCAGAAAAAATTCAGGTTTCAATGCTTTTAGATATACCATGTGCTGCACAATTCAGTTTGAAATTACGTAACAAGTTTATATGACTTAAGGTAAATTTGATTATTTAGGAATGCGGGTAACGCGATGCTAATTGGTGGAGTTTAAGCCTTAGTACTTGTTAGCTACATTAGCCTCGTAGCTCCAGTGCAAAACTAAACTATATCTTGGCTGAACAATTACACTGTGTACATTTGACTTTATGCTAAACTATCACTTTAAGGAGAACATCTTTCTCCCAAGATTCAGTATCACACATAAGCCAGTGCAGGGAAATAGTGATGTTCTTCAGGTGAATCAAAGTTATATTGTGAGTTGAGAATGAAACACTCAGACACAATGCTGGACACTCACCGTCCCAGGCTCGAAGCGGAAGCTGATGAGCAGAAGGATTTGGGCTACAAGGATGGCGAAGGACAGGTTGGCATGTATGTGGTAGCGCTGGTTCCGGATGGTGCTCACAGACCTACAAAAAAACACTCATATAAGCTTGCAGTGTGTCGAAATGTTATGTTGGAAACATATTTGGACTGTATTAAAGTGCTTTATAATGTACTTAAAGTGCGCTAGACTGCATTAAAGTTTTGGTAGGGTTTGTAGAAGGCCCATGATAACAAGTCAGCACAAATCAGTTAGCATAATGACCACCATTGTGGGATACTCACGAGAGCACGGCGAAGGTGACCAATGTGATGGCCAAGCAGAAGATGGAGATGGAGCAACCAACATACGTAATAGTGGAGAGTGCCACCTGATGGCTCTTTGTGAGCTGTGCAGAACAAAAGAAAATGAAGGACAATTATTTAGATGCACTGAGACAGAGACAATAAGTGAAATAATCCAATCTCTGTTCAGGTAATTCAGTTAATCCAAGTATTCTGGTTATCAAACGGATTGGCATGCCAAAGAGACATCTGTGAAGAGTTGAAGCTACAGAGCATGTCTGGCAGTCTTACTGGGCAAAAAGACAGCGTTTTTACTTTGACAACTGCTCAAATCTTGAGCTTATGTTTTTTGACAGTGGGTTTTCTAGGCACCTCATGATTCAGGTCAATTGCCAAGATGTATAAACAGTTCATAAATTCTTGAAAGAAGTTGAATGTAGCAGTACACATGGTGCACTTTTTAAGTCTACGGGCTTATTACTTTATGTTTTACCACTTAATAGAAACTAAAAAATACATGAACTACATCTTTATTTGATATTTTTGTCCTTTATGACAAATTCTATACAGAATATCCTGCAGTATTTCTCTTTTATCTGAAGTGTTTGGCACCAGTGATGCATATGCAAAAATGCATAACCCTGTGTAAAATCTAAAAGTCTGATTATGATCTGCATCGATGCAGAATCTTTCAAGAGAGATCCGATTATTCTTCCCTTTCCCTAGATGAGTTCTCACTACGTGAAATTACATTTGTTAGGTTGACTCTTTACCATTTTCAGCTCAGCTCTTCTATTCTAAGGGCTATTTGCCAAACACAGAGCCAATGCAAATTGAACTGTTCTAGACTTATTTTGTTTGAAGAACTTTTCCTTTCGGTTTATCTGATTTACAGGGGGTAAAAGTTTTACTTTAGCAGCATACTGGGTCACTAAGGAGGTTGAGATCAGTTATTATTTCTGGACCTCTTGAATGATCTGAGCCAAATAAAGAGTGACATTCAACCCCAGCAGTGATTGTGAAGTCTAAGGTTACGCTTCACTGACTCACATGCTTTGATATTTATGTAACATTAAAATGACTTAGAAGACTTTTCTTTTCAACGTTTTTTAAACTGAAGACGGCTGACCTTAACATTCGGCCAACTCATCACTACGAAACGGCTTGGAAAAATAAATGTTGTTCTAATAGTAGCACTGAAGGGCAAATCAGCACACTCCAGCTCCGACTGCTGCTACAAATCCAGTCATTAGGCTGAAAATTTACTTGTCAACAAATTATCAATCATATTTCCTGCTGAATTACTGTAAAAATGAATTCTGTGGAATGGTGTCTTTGCTTTGAACTCCGCTCACAACAATACTTTCATGCTGAGGTACAGTCACTGCGAGCCAACACAGATTTTTTTTTGGCTGGTGGGCTTTAGGCAGAGCAGATCACACAGAAACTTCATTCAGGCTCATCTGTGCTAATATGATGAACCCAAACAGTGCAAAACTGACATACATACTGGAGAGCATGTGAAACATGGTAGAAGCATACTGCCAACGTACATAAAATAAATAAGAGTGTATTAGATTTACAGTGGAGTAGAGGACTCATCACAGATGATACTTTTTAGCTAATTCTGGGACAGAAAAAAAATTGGGAAAATAAAATCGCTCCTTTAACCTCCTACCATGTCACGGAATTCCTGCCCAGGATTTGCCCTTCCTTTTCCTGCTTGCTATTAGTTTCAGTAGTTTTACCAGTGTTGGTAACTTAGGATATGTCTGAAACTAGGCTCACAGGACCTCATCTGTTGAGTCTGCTATTTTTAAGTGGTCTGAAAACAGCAATAGAGAGTATGATGCGAACTAGCGAAACAAAATGTGAAATAATTGGGCGTGATATTTTTGCAACAAAACAATACACACTGGGTGTGACGAATTTCGATAATGCACTGTGCATTTTTGATTTGAAGATTTGTGGGCAACCACGCTGAAGAGGACAGCGAATCAACTCACACAATGCTCCTATGGCACTGATGGAACGTGACCACACATGCAGAGTAATATAACCAATAAAACGTTAAAAACATTTAAATTTATTCATAAGTTCTGTTCCTCCTAATAGTGCTCTTTGTATTGTCCAGTGTAGGAAACAGTCTATCCCAGCCCCACCCTGCCGTCATTAGCTACACCTGTGTCTAGTTATGTTGCGTATATAATGTCCTGTTATTTCAGAGTTTTGTTGCAAAGTCTCACATGCGGTTAATTGCCTTTAATTCTGGGCTGTTTCTACAGATTTTCCTAGTCTAGTTCTTGTCTCTTATGTTTTTCCTAGGCTTGTTTCCATGTATCCTGTTACTGGTAGATCTTAAAATGTCACAATCTGGCCACTCTATCAAACTCTCTCTGTCATTGCATGCACACACACTGCCACAGAAGACTTTGACTTTGTGTTTATGTATACCTAGACGATACCTAATGAGAAAGCATTAAATTATCTATTGTGTGATTACATTTCAGCAAAATTGATTCTGTTTTTATGGCCTTTTCTGTTGTTAACTATTATTATCAGTTTTTCTGATGAGAGTAGTAGTAATAATCGACAAGCAGTATCGATGAGAGCAGTAGCACTGATAGAAACCTAATGATACCCATCCATACTGATTACATCTGAATGCCTCAAGCCTCCCTACGTTACATGCTGGTGACTAGTGCCATGTCTGCTGTCTCATAGCAGGATTACTCCCAGAACTGAGGCTGAGTCTACACTAGCTCTGCCTCCTGCCTTGTGATTATGGAGAGCCTAGAATATCTCTCCACTCTGCGGAGCGGCATAGAGAAAGGAGGATGGTTCCTCGGCCTATAGGACTGTGGCACACCACTAATTAAAACCTTGCCAAAGCAGACTTTAGCATTACAGTTGATGCAGCCGTGATCACAAGACTGAGCTGTGACAGATGACAAGTTGAGCTACACCTGGGCCAGTGTACTTGGTCAACTCCTTCATGGCCAAACTGTAACAGTCCCTAGTTTATTTACTTGTGTACAGAAATAGTACCAGTCAAACGATTCTGGATTGAATATTAGAGGAAAAATGCACAGATCTCAGGGCTCTAAGTGTTGTCTTATCATCCAGACATCACAAATTCGATACTTGGAGATGCTACAGCTATCTGTAGCCAGGAATCCAAGAGAGCACAACTGGCCTCTGTCTCTTATTTCTTTAATTTCCACTAATTAAAGTGGGCCTCTGTTAGCTGACTTAAAAAACTGACAGCTAATTGGCAGTGTTGAGCTGTCCAATGATGTGGTGTTAGAGGCCATTTAAAAATATGCAGTGGCTGGCTTCACATGACTCAGAGAAAGCATGAGCTAGCCTTCACCCTCCTAGTGCTGCTGGCACTGTGTGACTTGACCTAGCTAGTAAGCCTCACACAGCACAGTCTGACTGACAAATTCTGTAAAAACTCTGGCCTAAAATATCATGGAACAACATGTAGCCTAATGCTAAGATAAGAAGAAGTAGCCAACTAAGTATAATGAAAATACTAGAATTCAGAATAAATCAAATTTTCTAATTTTGCTCACATATTGCACTATAATACAGCTGGTTTTACAAGTCAAGTAAAGTCATGTTGCTTAAGCATGGTACTTTTAGATGGTTACCTTAAACAAACTGATTTAGTTTAAAATTAGTTTACTTTAAAGCTCATTTACTTTTAAAAGAAAAAAGGTCTAATCCATAGGGTTTTCAGCCAGTCAAGGTTTCATTATTGGTATCGGTATTAGAAAAAAAAAAAGTAACGCTTTACTGCGGGACAGTGTTCTTAAGGCTACGTGACACCTATATAAGCCCTTCATACACACGACTGACATAGACTTACATTAACATTTACAAACACTTGTTGCAACAGGCATAATTTGTCATAAATGTTGCATTTGCCAACTTTGATGTCGAGTTGACATAATATCCATGTCAGGTGACAGTGAGTGTGTTTACATCCATTTAACAATATGCTAACTGCAGGAAATCAGATTTTGTCAGCAATTCGTTCAACATGTTTCACATGCATCCGATATAAAGGGGGAAATTTCGGGACTACACGAGTCGGGCAGTAATCGCATTTCTGATTTAGAACAGGCCAATAAACGTAATATAAAACTCAAATGTTATGTAGTTTGTTTTTTGAACACTGACTCACTTTAGTGGAAGAAGAGAAAGAATATTTAAATTCATCTTGTGAGGGATACATTGGGTTTCAGCGACGCTCCAAAAGGGTTTTGTTGCTGTCTTTTGAGTGCTGTGTTAAAAGCTGCATGCTATCTCCAGGACAGCGCACTGTTTTCACACATGCGCAGACTGAGAAAACCAAAAGAATTACTGACCTAAAATCCAGCTCTCTTTATCAGATTTCCTAACAGGATTTCTAGGCCATAATCTGATCTAAGAAATCATATTATACTGTTTACATGACTACTTTAACTGCCGAAATCCATTGTTAAGTGCATGTAAACGCAATCATTGATTTTTTTTCTGATATTAGGTTGTGCTATGACACATTCTAGTGTAAAATGACTTTGCAGCTCAAGGTATGTCACAGTGATGTAATGCTGACAGATAATATGACATTACGTGAACAAAAGTGAGCATTTTCTGTGGCCCTGAAAGGCTGGTTCATGAATCCTTCATCTTGTTGGTGGTCATCCTCTTCCTCTTTTACCTTCAACTCTTCCAAGCAAACTGCCTTTCCCAATTCGCTGCTTCTTCTCAGAATATGTCCAAAATAAGATCAGCAGTGTGTAACTGTGATATATGCAAAGCTACAATGTCAGTTCTTATAAAAAGTGCTGTTGTGCCACCTCTCTGTCTATTGGAGCTCACTGGTGAACATACTTACGCCTCTTCCTGCTATGCTAAACTTTGCTCTTTAACTCTTTAATAAGTCAGCATGGCGCAGATCTATGTATCGAGTGATGCTTCTAAGCAGCTATTTTTTACAAGCTGACAATCTACCCTCTCTCCTCTGGCCTGTTCATCTCAGCCCACACACTCAGACCTCCTCTGAGATGTGGTCATACATAACACTGAGTTTCAAATGAACCAGATACAAAATGCACCGTGTCACTCCAGGGAGAACCTTCTCAACTTCTTCCAAACTGTCTCCTCCTCTAAGAGCTCAGTGCAGATTTACTGAGCTCTTTAGCCAATCATAACTTTGAGCTCTATGTGCTTTTGGCTCATCATCTAGTGGAAACACAGTTAAGCATCTGATTCAGTAACAGGCGGGAGTGTTTGTGGAGATCCCTACAGTGATTTGACCTTAATGTCTGAGAGAATGAGCGTGGGGAACTCAGCCAAGAACAGCAAAGGCTGCACCTGACTGGTTCTTATACATGCCATTACTGAAATTACTACACGACGAATGTTCGAAAATCAATTCAAGCTTTGTAAGGGGAGCCTTCTATACCATAATTAAACGTCAGAGGTCAAGAGTTATTGCTTTCATTTTGCTATATTATACAAATACAGCATCGTGCAGAAGTCAGAGACCACCCTTTATTTCCTTAATTTACAGTAAAATGGCCATTAAGTAAACATTTTTTAGCATTAGGAGAAAAAGCAGATAACAGAAAATTACACAGCAGCCTTACTACCTACATATAATAGTATTAGTGTTAATATTTAGTATTACTAATATTAGCATGTAGTGTGTGCACTAAACTTTGCCATTGCCTTTATTACAATGTCCACTCTTTTCAGGTGACCAGCTTTGAGTTTTTCAAAGAAGTCTGCAGGGATATTTTTCCACACCTCCAAAACCCAGTCTTAGATGGTGGTTACATTTTTTGCTATGGTGGGATGATATTTAACACATTATTTAACAATTTTTAAAACTTTTTTCCAATTTTTAAAAATTTTGGAAACTCTTGAAAAATGTATAAATAAGAAAGATGACCGTATGCACCATACCTTTAAATTCATATAAAAATAGAATACCTTTTTTGTAATTACTAACACAAATGTGGTTGATGAATGGACTGAAAGCTCAGAATCTCCATGTCTGAAACAAATTCTACATTGTTTGCACAAGCTACTAGTGTGAAATAGTTAATACTGCATTAGAACATGCACTTGTTATTACTGGCTATACCTGTGCCTCTAAATATTAAACTAGAATCAAAGATGGCAGTTTCAAATGGGGACGAGGATGGTTTAAAAATTTAATTAGGATCTTTAACATTTCACACACAGAATTTGATTTATACAGATCCATAATAAAGATGTTGGGTAACATCTGGTCTGTAGCAAGTGTCTATTAGAGTATTGGCATCCCAAAATATGGATGTAATGAAAGATAGTCTCTTTAATCCTTGAAGACTGCTCAAGCCCCATGTCTGCATGGTCCACAGGGCCCAATGAACCACATTTAATGGAAGCTTGGCCACAGATATTCTCCAAAAGACCACAAGCAAAACCTGCTGTCCCCTCCTTCTTGACACATGGGCCTCAGGGCCCAAGCCCAACCCTGTTCCAGCTGTGGTGGTGCACCACTGAGGTTCAACCCCTGGCCACATTCATTAGCTACCATGTCTTCTGAATGGGGCAGTGCTTTCTGGGCTTTTTTTGGTGCACCAGAAACAAAATATGTTTTTGAAGACACACTAAAAAGTGGTACAGTCAAGATCAAAATTGTGAGTCAGATCTAAAATACAGCAAGAACCACAAGAGGCCGTGGGTTGCAGCGATTTTGATATTTACAAAATGGCAACAAAAATGTGATACGGTAAAATGCACTACTGTTCAGTTAATAACTGAACTTATTATTAATATTTAGCACAATAAACCATCCTCTCACTGAGCAATGTAGTTCATTTACAGTAACATATGTTTTTAATAACTTCCCAGATTAATACAGAATTCAATTGACAGATTACTTTACAATAGCTGTAGAGGTGCATCAGCCAAATTGATCTTACAACTTTTCCATTGCAGTAATTACAACGTTCCCATTCTTACCAATATAAAAGGTCAGCATTAGTTAATTGACTTGTTCTTACCTCCATAGGAACGACCTGCATGAGGATGGCGAAGTTGGTCAGGTGGTTACACACACAGATGGAGTAGGACAGGTTGCCTCCAGCTCTCATACACCCCTCATTGGACCATACACCTTCCTTAGAGCTGAAACACACATTATAGTCTTCGTTTGGATTTAGAGTTAAATAAGGAGTGCTAACGCACCCCAGATGTTTAAAGCATGTCTCAATGTGTTTAGCAAGCACAAAAGTAGGTCTCAAATATTAAACAAACTTAAAAGTTCAAGTATACATGGCAGTGCCTTCTTCATATAAGCAAACATCCAATAATGGCTGATGTTAAACAGTACAAGGAGAGTCACTTGACCTTATTTTGCACAGACCACCCATCTGCAATCCCCTAATCTTTGCTTTGCATCCTACAATACTAAGTATCGGAGTATCTCAAAGTTCTAATACAATAAAAACAAGACTAGGCAAGTCTGGATCACCATTGCCTGTATGGCATTTATCCTTACATTATGTGCAGGGTGGCCAACTAACATTTTAGTCCACCAACGTGTAGTGTCTGGAGGATGCCCACTTTTTTTACCATCCACTTTTTATCGATAAACACACACTTTTTTTTGTCCGTACTACTACTGCACATACTACTGTTAGTCGTACCAGAACTAATAATAATACGAAGAAGAAGACAAATATAAATAGATAGGATGTTTACTAGACATTTCAAACAAACTTGATTCAAGCAAATCAAGCTTGCTTATATTTGAATATATAATTGTAGGGGGCTCTTATTGTGAAGTTTTACATGACGCTATACTGTGAAATCGTTAGAAACAGAGAGTGATTAAATATGTGACATGCTGTATTTATTGCTGTGTCATACATAGAACAATGAAGAACCATCTTAATTCACTGACTCTAAGACAGTTATTAGCATAACAACAGATTCTACATGCAATCCTTTACGTAAATGTCTACAGTTAACCAGAATCAATTATAAAGTCAAGCAAATTAACAAGCCAATTATTTCTCACTTGAGAGGTCTATTATGCTAGTAATGCTATCACTATAGCTTTCGAGCCAGCAAATGTTCCACATATCCCCAAAGTAATAATTCTAAAAATAGCAATCGACACACCAAAATGTTTTCAATGAGAGTCAATGGAACCAGACCTTTTTTTGAATAAATCAGACCTTTTTTTTATTTTCAAATTATGTCAAGAACTGAAAAATGTTTTGTTCTGACAGCAGTGATATGTTAGCCCTACAAACTAGAGAATGAGCAATGGGGTGACGACTTAGTTTCATTTACTTGTGTATAATACCTCTTACTGTTTGTGTGCACATTTGTGTTTCAACAATGGTATCAGTCAGTCAGTCAGTGACTCAAAAAAGACAGTAACTCCTGTAGGCCTGTTGAGTGGTACATCAAAAACATTTAAAATTTACATTTCTTGAAAAATACACCACTCTTCCAATGCAAACACCTTCTCTACATGATAAAAGCACACTTATGTCAATGCTGGGACTTTTGCGATCACCTTTCAAGCAATTTTGTATATTAGCACAGTTTGACAGACAAATGTTTATATATTATAACCATGTCCTCAGTAGTAGGTATGACTTGTGAGATCAGCAAGCCAACAAGACACACACCCACACAGGGTATTAAGCAAAAGTAAAACCACATTCCTTCAAGTCACATTTCGTTGATTAGATAAAAAGACAGACTAAAGCCTCTGCTTAAGATTTTCAGCATATTTAGTCTTATCTAAATAACAGGCCCACTTGTCTCTGTCAGTGCGGACAGTTCCTGCCCAGTTTTCCCTTCTGTCCATCTCGTGTGAGTGGAATTTCGTTAAATGGGCCCACAGGACAGTGGGGGAGAGGAAGGAAGTGGGTTTCACTCCAAATCAAACACACCGTGTTCCTAACGATTTACGGCCTTTCACTGTTCCTAAATTTGGCTGCGGTTATTGGGCCTAAGTGATTTCTCAGGTTATTGCTTCTCCTTGCACAAGATTGTTTAATAAATAAAATATGCATGTGATCCCTCCAAAACTTTCATAAAAGACAAAACGGAAGGACTTTTTTTCTGGCATAAAACTCTATTTTTGACTTAATGAAGGACTTTGTGTATCGTTCTGGTGTAGTGTGTCTATAGTGTCTGTATGTTTTAGGCTTGCTATTTAAATGGGATGGGATATCCTATCCTATGGGATAAATAAAGCTTCAAAGTAAAGTAACCTCCACATGAAACATATAATAAAAAAATAAATAATATAATCATAATCCCTAGTTTCCAGACGTTACATCAAAAAGAACAACATAGGATAGCTATACAACAAGCACATAAACATTGCAAGATGGACCCATACAGTATTATTTTCCTGCATGAAGGTTGATAATCGAATGTGATGTGACATGATAATGCGAAATATTTAGACACAATTTTTTTGCATCAAAACTATGCACACACGATTTTTTAGGAATTTGGAAACTAAAAAAAAAACATTGTGCAGGATGTTTTCCATTCTGGAAAAGTGGAAGAAGAATGAAGAGTTTCTCCTCCTTTTTCAGGAGCTAAAACTTTATGAGTTCCTTTGCTCACAGCTGGGATCTCAGCTGAGATTGACCTGCTTTTGGAAATGCAGCTCCACACGTGATGAAGCACGAAACAAATGGGCTGAATGTCTTTAAGCGCAAAAAAGACGTACTTTGCTCCATACTGAAAAGACAAAAGGTCACACTGGGCAGGCTACCTTAGATTTTGGAAAAGTGAAAGTAGTGAAAGTGGCTAGCTTCGTTAGGATGCTGACAATTCCTAGCCCAGTTTAAGAGCTATTTGAGCTGGTTTGGAGATTTTGGTCCTTAAGACGTTTGAGAAGAAGTTCCAAATGTTGGGACACAGCCGATCAGTCATCTTGGCTGTCGCCATGCCAACGTCAGAGATGACAACGATTGGTCAGTGAGTTCATGTTGTCAAAAATCAAACAGAGGGTGAAAAAAAGAAACACATTTTTGCCATCTGAAAAACTGCATCTGGTGTGCAATATTTAATCAATCATGCATGTAACCTAATTAATTTATAGTAATCCAAATAAATCACATGAATAACCTGTGTTTGGTGTGTAAAGGCCTTTGTGAGAGAAGGATAACCTAGAAGGAAAAACGTTCTAAACTTTTAAAGCAGGTTAAGATTTTATTCTAAGTACTTTTGTACCATTTCTATTGGTTAATTTATTATTTATCAGACTGGCTTCACACAGTGAAACTGCCATGCAACTGCTTGAATCCAAATTTCACTCAAATTGCACAATGTAAAGTGTCATGCGACTAATTTAAAACTCAGCTGCACCAGTTGTAACCATCTCAACTTTCAAAAGTTTCCAAACAGGCAATCAAAATGGTGACAACGCAGCACATAATCATGTTGAACAACAGAATTTAAAAATAATATTCTTAATGGATTAATAAACAAAAAACAAAACAGGAGATAACAAAGGGGTCTTGTCAGTTACCTGAGTTATTAAAAACAAACACACTTTCTTAAAAAAAAAACAAACACACTTGTTTCTTAAAGTTAGTGCTCCTGTAACCAGCTGGTTTAATTAGCTAGCTAATGCAAACAGTTGTTTAAACAGCTCCTTGTCCCAGCGTTTATTCTTCTTTATTTGCCTGCTGATATCACTATCAACGTTTCTACATTATTAATTTTCTCCTCTCTTTTATACAGAACAGGAACTAAATGATGAAAAATATCACAGAACGGGAGAACGAGAAGCGAGGCATCAAGTACAACCATTATCTAGGGGCTAGTTAATCAATCATTTTTAAAGGTTTAACATGTGCAGAACAGATTTTAAACACCATTTAATTTGTAGGTTTGTTGGACCCACCTGTAGTCCAGGAAAGCACAGTAGAGGAAGACTTTGTTGCTTTGATTTAAGGCCTGAAGCTGCTGCTCTTTACTCTGAAACAGATGAGAGAGAATCAGGGGTGAAAACACTTGCTTAAAAATAACACATAACTCACACAGACACATTAGGTCATTACGTTTCCCAACTTGCTGACCCATATCCTTCCTATCAGAGTTGAGGAGAGAGCCAAGTGTTTGCGTATCTGCACTACTCCCCTTTGTGGAGGCTAGGTGCAAGATGACGATAAGCGTATCACAGCCTTAGTGAACGAGGCCGAGTAATAAGGCAAAACACGGTATATCACTGTGGCAGTGTTTGTGTAAAATTGAGAGAGCTTTGCTCTGTCCAAGGAGGCTCTCATAGGCTAAGTAGGGCAGATCAACTCCTGGCTTTCTGAACAGCCATCTATAAAAGCCAGTCTCGTAGTCTCTAGTTGTCATCTAGAAGAACCAAAGCAAAGGAGAAAATGACAGAACATAACCTCCAATTCTAGGAAATACAGTTATACTAAGCTTTACAGAACCACTGCTTCTCTTCTTGAGACACTGGTCAAATTTTCTCACCACTTAAAGTATGAAACACATTACATCTATACTGTAGGCCTTTCTGACAGATCAAGCCTTTACTGGACCCCCTTGGTAAACACTACAAGGATGCCTCCTTTGGAAGACGTTAACTTTAAGCAAAGGTGTTGAATCGCTTTTATTGAATCAGTGAAAACTAATCAGAAAGACGACAGAGAAGGACAGCATTAAAACTCATCTTTTTAAGTAATTAATTAGTCTTTGTTACTACTAAACACTTAGCTAGCTAACACTGCTCACTACTGGGGAAAGTCTATCTCAGCATAAAGTTTTGGCAAGTATTTTACTGTCTTTGTGTGCTAATGGAATTATCATGACTCCATGATAAAATCTATGATGACAATGAAGATTTAGCTAGGGTAAATGAGGAGCTGGCTTGGGTAAATGAATAGATAGTTTGGCTAAATTAATATTTAGCTAGGGTAAATGAGGAGCTAGCTTGGGTAAATGAATATTTAGCTAGAGTAAATGAGGAGCTAGCTTTGGTAAATGAAAATTTAGCTAGGGTAAATGAGGAGCTAGCTTGGGTAAACGAAAATTTAGCTAGGGTAAAGGAGGAGTTAGTTTGGGTTAATTAAGAATGAAATAGGGTAAATGAAGAGTCAGCTAGGATAAGTGAATAGTTAGGTAGGGTAAATGAAAAGTTATCTAGAGTAAATGAAGAGTGAGTAGCTGGGCTCACACTGAAAAGGAAGTGAACTGAAGTGGAGAAATAAAGGATGTCCGGAATGGTAGACCTCTTGGCCCCTGGCACTGGTTTGACTCCCAAACTTGGCACAAAAAGTCAGCCATAGCAAAGACTGTAAGGAAACACTGTGGAAACTGGCCAATCCTGAGGCTTTGGAAATGCGATAAATTAGATCTGGTAGATGGCAATTTTGGCTCCTTGCTACGGAAGGAAGTTATTAAGGATATTATTATCAAGTATGACGGCAGACTGTGGAGGCAAAACAAATTAGGACTGATTCTGAATCAATGCAGTACTTAATAGCTTAATTATAATAGTAAACTATTATGTAGTTCTGTGGTTTTGTGGCATCACTATTAAAATTACTCAGTATGTGTGTTTTTGTTTTGGTGCATTTTTGGGACAAAATATTTTGACACTGGGAAAAACTATAGATGCTTACCAAGATCTACAGGTTTGTTTTTTTAACTGAAAGACAAAACCATTTCTTTTTGGTTCCTTGAGTTAAAATTAGGGTTTAGTGTAAAACATTCCTATTACATACATGTGCTTAATTTAATAAAATACATATAGGACATACATATGACCCTATGTCCTGACATTGTTTGTGCGTGAGTGGGAGAGAGAGCGAGAGAGAGACCTTTGCTATTTATTTCTCTTTATTCGTCTAATCTGAATGTGACAAAACAAAAATCATTTTGGGAGTTCACAGCATCTCTTGGGATTGTGAATTCAGCTCTGAATACGCACCACATCAGATTTAAAAACTGGAAATAAGCAATGACACAGCTAGCTGCTCTTTCCAGCTCTTTCCAAATCTTCCGTGTCCTGCTTGGCTTTCTGGTGGTTAGCGGCACTTAATGAGGCTGTTAGCCACTGAGCTGTGCCCTCTAAAGGTGGAGACTGTTTAACTAAGCAGGTGCCAGCATAAACAAGCATAGCACTGCTTTTGTTTTATTGTGATTAAGTTTAATGCCTAATGGCTGTAGAGAAGGCTGTAAACATCTGAGGACACTAGCTAAGGGGCTGATCACAGCCCAAGTGGGGACAGTGCGTTGGTGAGTGTGTGTATGTGTGTGTTTTGGACAGAGAAACAGAGAGATCAGTGAAGCAAACACGAGACAGAGGGAGTAAGAGCATTATTGATATGTTGTGAAAGTCTCTCTCTCTCTCTCTCTCTCTCTCTCTCTCTCTTTCTCTACGTATGTTTTCAGTGGAGGTTGCTCATTTTTTCCAGGTCATTTGTGAGATGTGATCTGGGTCCCTGGAGCCTCTGAGCTAATGGCCTGAGGAATGTGTGTGTGTGGTCATTAGAGCTTGGCCAGGTTTTGACCGTGAATCAAACATACAGTTTCCAAAACTGAGTTAGTTGGCACAAGTTTGTATACACAAACAAATGTGGATTTGTATGTGAGCGCACACACACTCACACTCACACCTTCACACTTCACACTTTCACACTCCAGACCTCAGACCTGCCGCGTCTCTCTGTCTGATTCTCAAACTGTGTGATCACACTAAATGGAATAGAGACGTCGATTCTATGGAAAATGTGAGGAAGAAATATGAAGCCTTGCATCAGACAGTGTTTCAACACCACACCTTAACTCTACTCTCAGCTCCTCTCCTTTTTCTCTTCTCTCTTTCTCCTGTCCTTTAGTCTCCACCCTCCTTTTCTCTCCTTGTCTCATTATCTTTTTTTACTTCCCATTTCATGTCCTTCTTTCTCCTTTTCATCTCATCTCTCCTTCTCTTTATCTCTCCTCTCATCTCTTCTGTTCCCCTTTCCTCCCCGCTTTATCCCTCCTCTCCTTTCCTCTTTATCTTTATCTTTCCTCCATCTTTGCCTTCTTCTTCTGTCTTTCTCTTTATCTCTCCTCTCTTGTTCTCCTTTGCCTGTCTTCTCTTCATCTCTCCTCTCCAGTCCTCCTTTCCTCTCTCGTCTTTATCTCTCCTCTCCACCTTTGCCTTCTTCTTGTCTTTCTCTTTATCTCTCCTCTCCTGTCCTCCTTTCATCTCTTCCCTTTATCTGTCCTCTCCTGTCCTCTCTTCTCTACATCTCTCATCTCCAGTTTTCCTTTGCTCTCTCCTCTCCACCTTTGCCTTCTTCTTGTCTTTGTTTTTATTTCTCCTCTCCTGTCCTCCTTTCATCTCTTCTCTTGATCTGTCCTCTCTTGTCCTCCTTTGCCTCTCTTCTCTTTATCTCTCCTCTCCAGTCCTCCTCTCCTCTCTCCTCTTTATCTCTCCTCTCCACCTTCGCCTTCTTCTTCTGTTTTGTATCTTTATCTCTCCTCTCCTGTGCTCCTTTCTCCTCTCTTCTTGTCATTTCTTTATTTCTCTTCTCCTGTCTTCTCCTATATACCCTAATGACATTTAGATGCTGTAGGTACTAGGGAGTGTAACAAATTCAGAATTAGATTCAATGAAATACCACTGTAGCTCAATCTGATATATTTTTAGACACAGCAGAAATGAGCACTGGCTGAAAATGTCCCTTACAGTAATAAGTTAATAATTCTATTTTCTTTTTAATAGAGCATTTTTAACATCAACAAATAATAATATTTGAAACAAAAGCTGTGCTTTACAGTCTATTATCACCATAGGCTAATATATTTGCCTCAAGCTAACACACTGCCCACAAGTTACATTCATAATACAAAAAAATAGTCATGACACAATTATGTAATATGATACAATATGATACACTGAGATACGATACACTGTGTTGTATTGGTACACCCCTAATAGACCCTCATGAGGAATATTTCTCCCCACTTTTCTAAAATCCCAACAAGGCTGCCCTGTATTGTGCTGGACTGTGTGTGTGTGTGTGTGTTTGTGTGTTTAAAGAGGTGAGAGAGCCTCCCCACTCTGCTTTATTGCAGCCCTGTTCTACTCCATAACACTCTGTGTGTTTGTTAGCATTAAGCAGAACCAGATGAGAGAGGGCAGGGCCACTCCCAAATCTCAGTGGAGGGGGGGAGGTCACCAACAAAGCTCACTCACAAGCACAAGAAAAACACACACACACCATGTCTGTTTAGCCAATCATTAGCAGCCTCCACTGCTCTATCCATGTTTGTCTATTAACAATTTAAACTGTATTTATTAATTAACTAATGAAGTGTGCACTGGAGTGTGGGCTCACATACAAACCCTTGTTTGTTGTTTCTGTCCATCCATCCATTTTTTTCTACTCATTTCCTCATCTTCTATTTATCTATCTATTCTGTCTATTTAATCTGTCTGTTTTCTTTCCATTTAACATCCATTCTTTGTATTTCTCTGTACTTCGCTTCTGTTTTACCTACTTATCTCTGTTTGCCCACTTATTCATCCACTAATTTCCCCCTTGTCAATATTCAATCGACTGTTTATTCTGTTTTTTTCTGTTTCTGTCCATGTATTCATCCAACTATCCATCCACCTATGTGTCTATTCTGTCTGTTCTCGGATTCCGTACATCCAACTTTGTATACATCATCTACTCATTTAACCCACTTAATTGACTCTATTCATCTATCACTGTTTCAGAGCAGGTAAGTGGCGTGACAGACACTTCTGCTCCTCTCTCAAAGTGTTTCTGTAATCACTACGCTCCATATGATTCATTCTTAAGATATTTGTTTTATGTCTTGAATGTATGGACAAAACACTGCACACTTTATTTAATTAATCATTTGATTTATGGCTGTTATTAAATGAAGAACTAGTTAATTATTCTGTGCTCCACAGGCTTTTTCTGGAAGGTTTAGGGTTGAAGTGATGGCCCAGTCTA